GCAGGGCGTAGAGTGAGCAGGGCGTAGAGTGAGCAGGGCCCAGAGTGAGCAGGGCCCAGAGTGAGCAGGGCGTAGAGTGAGCAGGGCCCCGAGTGGGCAGGGCCCCGAGTGGGCAGGGACCCGAGTGGGCAGGGCCCAGATTTAGCCATGCCCAGAGTGAGCAGGGCCTTTGGTGAACAGGGCCAGAGTGAGTAGAATCCTCAGGTGTGCAGAGACCTAGAGGATGCAGTGCCTAGAGCACACAGTGCCTAGGAGACCCAGGGTCCAGCTGCCTCCTCAGCATGGAACCCCAGGAGAGTGCTGGCCCAGGAGGGTCCTGCTCGAGCCCATGGCATTGCAAGTCACAGCCCAGACCAGGAAACTCTAAATTTTCCCAACATACATTTTACACTAACACTGCCAGGAAATGTTGGCACCAGACAGAACCAGGTCTGTAGGCGCAGGTGACACCGCCCAGCCTTCCACCCAGGCGGGAAGGCCCCTACAATGCATAAGCCACACTGAGGGGGGGCCGCGCCCCAGCTGCACACCTGCTCCCCATTGCAGCAGAGGGTGTGCCCATTTCATGGAGTGAGCCCTGGGCTGTGTGTCACGCTTGGCCATGAGCACGCACTGTTCACAAGGACAACTGGGGGTCAACGGAGCCCAGGACACATGGAGGGACGGGCACGCTGCCGTCTGGTGTCCTGGGGACAGAGGCCCGGGGTGAGTAGCAGAGCACACACACGAAGGCAGGAGTGGCGGCTGACAGGCACGGCCACCTGGCCAAGTCGAGCCACAGCAGGGCACGAAGCCCGTGGCCTGGCCCCTCTACAGCCTGGCGAGGACCAGGAATGACTACCCCCTCATCCCACAGCGAGGCCCCGCACAAGGCAGTGGCTGGGACGTGCACACAGGGTGATGCCGGCATCCACCCAGCTCTGGGCTCTGGGAAGCTCCGCAGCACAGCTGGGACCAGCCGCCTGGAGCCTCCTGTGTCCCTCCAGGAGACGCTCTTCTCTCTGGGCTCTACGGGCCCAGGAGCCGTCAGCTGGGTCTGTCTGGGCAAAGGAGTGGAGTCCCAGAGTGCGACGTGCAGTCAAGGCCTCCCCGAGGCCCCCCAGGCTGACTGCTGGGAGCTCTCTGCAAGGGCTGCTCCGGCACTGGCCGACTCGGGCCCAGAAGACTGCTCGCCCGCAGAGCCTCGTCCACTCCTTAGGCCCTCTGCACCCACACCTGCTACTTCAGCTGGCCACTCCCCAGCCACGACCTTCCTCACGCACATGCGTCTCCCACAGCTGTGTTTCTGGAGGACCCAGTGGCCCCGGTGTTAGCAGGGCCCCCAGGGTCCCCTCAAGTGGCCAGCTTCAGACACCTGGGCCCGGCCAAAGGACAGCAGGTGGGCAGGCCCCACCAAGGACGGTGCTGGCCACCACGGAGGGGCCATGTGGTCTGCAGCCCTAGGCCTACCCACAGCTCCTGTGACCCGGGAAGAGAGTCAGCACAGCGCCTGGCGGACACGCGGCCCAGGCCCCACGCTCACCCCAGACTTCCGTTTCCATACCAGGAGGCTTACCTTTCCCGGGACTCAGGCTCTGGTCTATGAAGACCTTCAGTTCTCCGTTGGCTTCAATCAGACCGGCCTGCGGAGAGCAACAGCAGCAGTGAGCACAGCGGCCACCCGCGCACGGCCGTCGCTGGCAACCCTCCCACCCAAGGGGCCACCAGGACACCAGGGCCTCCAGCCTCAGGACCTGCCCTGGGCATCCGCAGGGCCTCTGGGACTCCGTGACTGTGAGGGCACGGAAGGCCCAGTCCAGCAGAGGGCGTGGACGCAGCAGGAGGGGTCTCGCCAGCACCTCACCCTCCTCTTCCAGGAGACCACCAGGGCGGGGCCTGAGGCCTTGGGACAGGAGGCAGCCCCGGGTCCCCGAGCTCCAGGAGAGCAAGGCACACACACCAGCAGGCTCAGTCTCCTTCCCACAGAAGAACAGCCACAGATGGGGTCGGGGCCACACCCGGAGAGGGACACTGGCCACAGCCTATACTCAAAGCCTGGAGGGCCCTGGGCCACTTCCTGGACCCCTGCCTCCACTTTCCCAGACAGCAGGAGGGCAGGGCCTCCCCAGAGGACCAGGACCACCTGCAGGCTGGCGAGAAGGCCAGCAGAGAGGGAGGCCACAAGCAGGACAGGCTGACCACCCCTTAGAGCCAGGAGAGGCAAGGCCACAGACGGAGCTGGTGGCGGACACCAGGGTGTCAGGGCTGGCCACGCAGGCCTTACCAGGAGTGCAGGGTCAATGGAGGGCAGCAGGGAGGTGCAGAAGCAAAGGCCCAGGGGCCAGGACAGCAGGTAAGAGCCCGGGCATGAAACCCAGAGCTGAGGCAGTGGAGGTGGCCTGTGAGCGTCGGGCCACACAGCCGGGGAGGTAGCGGGCCAGGCGGCATGGCTGGCCAGAGCCTCAGGCGGCACCGAAGCCGGGGACAGATGCTGGGTGGGCAGGACAGCACCAGGCCAGGTGGGCCACCCGGCAGGCAGCAGCACCCGGTGGCAAGGCCACAGAGGTGAGGACAGGCCCACAGGCGAGTGGGGTGCCGAGATGTGGCCAGGAGGGCCACGCCTGGAGTCCAGCCCTGATCTGGCTGAAGCCCGAGTCCCCGCTCCAACAGGTGTCCCTCTCCGCAGCTCCCCTGGCCTGGGAGGCCGACAGCCCTGGGCGTGGGTCTGGGCCATGCGGCTTGGCCCACCACTGCTCCCGCCTCATGGGGACTCGGTCTGATGAGGACAGACAGACTCCCCGATGCCACTGGGCTCCGTCGCCCAGCCCCACGGTGCCCAGCCCTCCCGATTCCCTGGAGACTGGCTCTGGTGCTACTCTGCTCCTTCTTGGGCACCCTCTCCCACGACAAAGGGACTGGGGGAGGCGCCCAATCAGGCTGGAAGCAGGGCAGAGCCTCCCAGGGGCAGGGCTGCAGGGTGCACGCAGGACGCCCAGAGCCATGCTTCCTGCGGTCCACGAGACCTGCTAGGCGAACACGCAGGTTAGGCCTCCAGGCAACAGACACAGGGACATGCAGAAACCACCCACTGGGCCACACCCACAGAAGCCAGCTCTGAGACACACCACACAGGTGCACGGCAGGAGGGCAGACCGCCTCCCGCCCAAGGAGGCCTGCAGCAGGCAGGGCCAGGCTCCCGGAGGCTCCCAGCTCTGCTTGGCCATCCCCAGCCAAGGCAGGAGCAGAATATCCAGTGCCACCCGCCTCAGAGGCCACCCCAGCACTGTTGGGAAGACGTCACGTGACCCTGGGCGGCCTACAAGGCCCACAGCAGCTCTGGTGAGCTCACTGGCCAGGGTGGACAGCCCAGCCCTGGCCAGGGCCAGAGATGGAACATGGGGTCAGGCTCTCCACATGAGCCTAAGTTCAGGAGTGACTGGGGCAGCAACTGAACTTCAAAGCAAGAAAGACACAAAGGCAGACACCTGCACGTCCTGCCACCCAGGCCCCCAGCTGCTGGGCAAACGGGCACCATTTCCCTCCCCAAAAGCCGTAAGATAAATCCCTCTTCTCGAGTCCTCCAACGCACTCCAAGGATGCTCACCTGAAGGGCTGGCCAGCGCCTCAGCCTGCTGGCCCACCCCCAGGCCTCTGGCTGCAGACCTGACACTCCAGACCCCACGGTGCCCCTTCCTTCAGCCTTTGACAGTGCATCCCCCATCCCCCTGAGTGGGTTTCCCAGGGCAGCGGAGACGGGGGACTTCTGCTGTGGGGTGCCGGCACAGGCCCTGCTGCCCCAGCTGCCTTCCAGCTGCACCCCAGCGTGACGAGCAGATCACGCCAAGCCTTGCGAAGCTGCCCTCGGTCCCAGGCTTGGCTTTTGGGCTGTGCTGCCCGGAATCAGAGCTGCCCAGAGCCAACAGGTAAAGCCCACCTGGCCTCACGCCAGCCCGTTTCCAGGCAGGTCCCTGAGCCCTGGAAGCCTGGAAGCCTGGAAGCCTGGAAGCCTGGCCTGGTCTGAGGCTGCGGAGGCTCCGTGGCCCCCGGTGCACACACACCACAGCTGCCCCACCAGAGCCGAAAGCGCAGAAAGCTCCTTCAGAACTGTCACCACCACAAGGGCCGAGCAAGCTCCCCCTCCAAGGAGGAAATCGGGGACCAAAGCAGCCGGGCCTCCTGCGGCACTGTCTGGAGGGCAGCACACGCGTCCTCCAGGAGCCGACACTGCAGAGCCGGTGACCTCTGGGGACAGGACTCAGCAGACCAACGCTCTGCAGCTGGGCCGCAGCTGAGTGGCCACCTTCAGGAGGCTCCGCGGAGGCTGCACATCTGTCCTGAGCACTAACTCTCGGCGTCACAGGTGCAGCCTGTGATGGATGGAGCCGGCCCCTCCCACATGAGGACACAGCAGGAAGGTGCTGCCTACGAGCCAGGTGGTCCCTGCCACACCCCAACCAGCGATCCGTAGCCTCCAAAACGTGAGAAATAAGTTTCTGTCCCTTATAAGCTACCAGGTGTGTTTGTCACAGTAGCCTGAGGAAATTGAGACAGATTGTCACCAGTGTGCACCCGGGCCACCCTCACCACACTGAGCCCTGTGGCAGGACGCTGGGAATGTGGCCGACTTCTACAGCCAGCGCCCTGCCTTGCGGTTTTCTCTGGGAAGCCAGTGGCCAGTCTGCAAGGACACCTGAGCAGGCCCTGCCCACGGCCAAGCGGAGTCCTCAGAAGCATCTCCAGGCCCAGCCACTGCAGATCTGCACAGCACCCCAATCTGGGGACAGGAGTATCCCGTCACACCCTCCTACATCCTGACCCACAGCCACCAAGGTCAATAACGTGTCACCTTCACCAGTGAATCCCCACCAGTGTGGGTCACCGCAGCAGGTGCCCAACGCGGCAGCTAAGGGTCACTCAGAGCCGTACATGGAACCTTGGCTCTACGAGGAGGCCACGCCTGCTGGCCCAGCAGAGCCCAGCCCCCTCCACTCACCACCGGCCAGAGGCCCTCAAGGGAGGTCGCTGCAGGGCAGTGGTGAGGTCAGCGGCACCCTGTTAGGAGCAGGACACCACCTGGCCTTCCCTGAAAAGAACCCTCGCTGCCGCCCCAGCCAGCTCCAGCGTCTGACTCAGCACCACAACAGCTCCTGTGCCGGCCGAGACCTCGCGCAGCTTCTCACCGTGACTCCGCCGTTACAAAGGACCCTCACAGCCAGGCAGTGGCCACCCCTGTCATCCCGGTGACTCGGGAGGCTGAGACAGGGGCATCCCAAGTTCAAGGCCAGCCTCAGCAACTCAGTGAGACCCTGTCTTAAAACAGAAAGGCTGGGGCTGGGGCTCAGTGGCAGAGCACTCGCCTAACACGTGTGAGGCACAGGGTTGTCCCTCAGCACCACATAAAAACCACTTAAAAGGAAAGGTGTCGTGTCCATCTGCCACAACAAAGGTAAAGACGAGGGGCCCCTCCCAGCAGTGGCCAGCTGAGTGGCCACCTTCAGGAGGCTCCGCCCAGGGGTGGGCCCGCCAGGGTGAGGAGGGCCAAGACTCCGGCTCCTGCAGGACAGGACCACGCCCGACGGCGTCACCACGGACGCCCTAACAGCGCACGGGGCGATTCTCTCCTCCCGGGGACCAGGAGCCACGCCCGGGGAAGCAGGGCCTCCAGAGTCCGAGCAGGCCATCGCTGCAGTCACCAGGGACAGCCCAGGACGGCCGTCACCATCTCCACTCAGACCCGCCAGGGCTCCCAGGCGGGCTCCAGCACGCGGCCCACAGCCCCCTTCCCTGAGCCTGGGACCAGCACCGTGCGGCAGGCCCGTCCTGAGGCCTGAGAAACTAAGGGCAGGACAGCGAGGGAGCAGGACAAGGTGCCTCCACCCTCACCACCGCCTGTGCCTCCCTGCCCACCAGCCAGTCCTGGGACGTCCCCCTGGCCAGGGTGCAGGGCCGTGGAGACGAGGCACCAGCTCTGCTGGGAGTGGCCCAGCTCCAGCAAGGTCCAGCGCAGCCGTGGGCACGCCCACCGCGGCGACCCAGGCTTCTTCCTGGGGGAAGCTTCGTGAGGAAGCTAGAAAAGCTTCGTCCACAAGGGAACACTGGAGCAGGGGCCTGCCGCTTAGCGGTCCAGCCTCCCAGGCCCACCACCAGGCCAGGAACAGGTGACCCTGCTCACGACCACCCTGCACCCAGGGCAGCCCGGCTCACTGCAGCCATCAGCTGAAGCCTGGCACTGAGTACAGGAGCCGGAGACCACAAGGGGACAAGCACAACGGGAGCAGGGAGGCTTCAGGGCATCAGACACCAAAGTCTGAGGACCACGTGACAGAGGCCAGCCTCCAGCAGTCGCTGACCAACCGTGACAACTCACAGCCAGTCACGCACATAGCTAGCTCGGCACTCCAACTGGACACACACCGCCTGCCGTCCAGTGTGCCACCAGGACCGGCCCATCGGAGACAGCACCACGACTCCAGGCTACCACCCGGCCTCAGGACCAGAAGCCACACCTCAACAGCCACCCTGCAGGGACCCGGCAGAGTCCAGCGCCCCACAGCAGCCCTGGAAGCGCAGCATCTCCACATGGAAAGCGCACAGCGCCAGGGAGACTCTGCATCACCAGGTGTGACACCTGCGTGGACGGGAG